GGCTTTTAGATAAAATACGCAAAGTCCCTTTGGGCGATAATGTAACGGCCGGCAGTCAGGCATATTTCTCGGCATACAAATCTGCAGCCCAGGCTGTTACGGCACTGGAAAGTCATTACCAGGGCTATTCTGCAGCAAACCATTTGCAAGGAAGCCTGCAGTGACGATAGATCATTTTGTTTCAGATGCTTTTTCCAGACGCTGAACTTGCGCAGTGAAGTTGTTTTGGCCAGTCTTGTCAAGATTTTATGGTCTACAATGCAGAAATATGTTGAAAAAATTGAGAATAGTAAGTCAACAGAATAAACTAAAGTGCTCTTTTATGATGAAAATTTGTCTTTAGTTCTAATCTTCAATAAAACAGTTAAAGCATTTCTTGCATTTTATGAATAAATACAATAGCTGTGAAATGCTTTTTAGCCTGGCAAAGACCTTGAATTCAAAGCCGACCTTGGTTTTCAAATACTTCACATTACATGTATATCTAACGTTGACAATACATTATGTATTTCTAATTGTACATTCAAGAAAATAAACACACAACACTTTTGAGGTTTTTCAGATATTTTTCTTTTTAAAATGTACAACATCTCAGAGATGACATCATCTTGTTCTTTTCCTAGACTACTGAATGCTTCTGTGAGGGTACAAATATGAGTGAACTTGAAATATCATAAAAAGATTAAATTTAAACAGACTAAACTGTCTTTTAATATACTCTACATATTAAGAATGCTTAATCATTAAAGGAAAGCATATCTGCAGCTATCTATAATATGATATAACACTTGATGAAAGCTGCAGTGATAGTCTTTCAGTCATGGCAATTTGTTGCAGTTTTGTCACAATTTTGATTCAGACTGTGACAGAACTAACCATTGCACAGGATCTAAGGCTGCCTTTCCTGCAACAAGACAGCTGAACTTTGCATCACATATGCAGATTTTACCAAGGAATGCCTTCAGTTTGCGATCGTATGGCGATTTTATAATGCATGTGACTAGGCCTTTACAGGGATATGATACCTGTCCATGGTGCTGAACACTGGGTGTTGTTATCTGTCTGCCTTCCATTCTTCTTTCAGCATCTTTTTTTCATACACCAACTCAGCAGCATGTCTCAGATACATGTATCTCTATCTAAACTGTTGTTATAGCCAAGAATTCAGTATACATATATGCAACCTGTAGGGCTCAATTGATCATCCAATGCATGACCCTGACATTCTACTGTCTGACTGTATTACATTCACTCTGAGTTGAACTTGAACAATGACTTTCTAATCTTATCCAACAGACCCAATAACATCTGTGTCCATAATATCACCAGGGTCCATAATATCGCCACCTTGAGAAATAGTGTGCTTTAAGATATTTTTACTGGAACATACTTTTGGTATGCACTCCTGAACACCTCAAATGTACATACCTAGGGTATGTTGCAGTAAAAATATCTTTAAGCACACTTTTTTCTTAAGGTGGCGATATTATGGACCCTGGTGATATTATGGACACAGATGTTATATATACGTTGGATTTGTTGGACAGTTAAAAATAAATTTATGCATGCACACTGTATATCAGCTCAACTGTTTAATTACTAGGCTAACCTTAACTGGTTCGCAACTACCATAATTTTTTAACGATGAGTGTGCAACTACATTTAGACTTGTAGATAGCCATCAGAAACTTTTCCTATCATGGTATATCATCAATGATTGACATAAGATGTTGGCAGAGGAATATACATGTAGCCATGCCTCTAGTATGGTGCTGGTGTGTGCATTCTGAAAAGAAACAAAAACAATACATTAAATTTTATATTTTTCAGTGCATAATGAGGGCAAATTGTCCGATTTAACAAAATATATCCATATAACCAAAATCATATCCAGTTGCTTGAGTTACAGTTTTTTGGCATATCTTATTACCTGGATGTCTAACCTTCATCGACGTATAACCATTATGATTATATTTTCATGTCATAAAGTCACCCAATTCATAGACAATTCAAACTCCTCTACTGGATAAATCATGTATGTTTGACATATATGTCGATTGAGTGACATATACATACACGAAAGCATCACTCAAATTGTAGTCTCTGTATTCCATCCAGTAGTAGTGTGAATTGTCTTTTTACCTGGATGTCAAACCTTCAACAACGAGTCACCTTCTTTTGTAAAAATAACATCCCTAAGGTGATGCAAAGGTCGCCCCTTGATTCATTATTCATTTCAAGGCCTGAACATAATGGCATGTGAGGGACTTGCTACCACTTGAAATGTCATTTGGGTCATGCAGATATAGCCTACCACTCATAAAAACCTTACACTAATTACATATAAAAAGCCATCGAGCTTGAAGATGTAAAACTGACTCCAAGGCAGTTGACGGAATCATCACAGGTTTAAGATAGTCTAAGGATACACCGGAAGACACTATTACCCCTGTGCTGAGCACCTTCATTACTGATAAGTAATTAGATAATTATTCATAGTGTGTAATGGGAACACACACTCACACGCCTGGGAATTCCTTTTTTGTTGCTGCTGTCGGGGCTTTTATGTCCTTTATTGGACAGATTGATGAGTGTGGCATTTCTTTAATTGGCTGTGGCTATAATTGCATGGTTACGAAAGAAGGGGATGGAAATAGAAATAAAAGGTTTATGGTTCCCCGCTCGTGTTAGTAAATCGGCGCCGACAAAGCTCCAAATGTCAGCGTGCACACTCAATCGGGCTATCCGTTTTACTGTAAATTGTGAAATATTTGCCATGGTTTTACTTTTACAATTTTTTGCGTAGTGTCCTCTTGATGCAAAATCATAATACAAAAAAATATGTGTTTATCATGTGTTTTGCACTACCGAATAGTTTTAGCCATAAACTTCAAAGACCATGAAAACCTCTTTTTCTCTCATATTGCAAAATAAAGCCACTGCGAATATTTACAGTGTTGCCTGTTGTTCCCCATATTTTGACAAACAAAAAGTTTTCTTTCCCTGGTATAGATTGAGTAAATTTAATACTGATAAATACCCCCAATCCATATTTCATGCATCCTCCACTGGTTCAGAAATTACAATCTACTTTGATTTATTATAGCAACTAGTTGCGATTATTCCGTTGGAAGAAGATATTTCAGGGCAAGTGTAACAAGTAACCGGGGGTTAATCTTGGGTAGATATGCAGGGTGTATCAAGCAGGGTTAATGTTCTAAATGAACCGCCTGCATTAACCATGTTGTGCTTCCCTCGGAGGGCAGAACATGACAAGACTTTAATTACAGACATACTAGAAGACAGGATTTTATCAAGGATTGATATCTCCGGGGACGGTTCATTAAAACTCTGGGGATGGTACACTGTATGCTGCAGCACAGGGTCTAGGAATGAGTACATCAGGCCATGTCAACTGCATTTCATGGATCAGATCAATGTTGGGGGATCTGTCATTTTTGTATGCATCTTTTACTTTTAAAAGCATTCAATACATGTACAGTTTCAATGACTTAGTATCAAAAACGAATTTTACTTTCTTTTCTGGTCATTCTGTTTATGTATCAAGGTGAATCAATCCTATCCCATATTATACCTGTAAAACTACAATGTCACTGACAGAAAACAGAACCGTACAATATAATCAAATGTCATGTATATCCCTTAATTTCATATTCTTTTGCTGCATAAGAAAAAAATTAAACCCAATGATAACTGTTTTAGATGGAGCGCCAGTTTTTAAGTTGCTTTTATGTTCATTTTATTGCTCATTAATACCTTTATTACTTCTGATGTGCACTTGAAATTACCCTTCAGGAATGGATTAGCAATAAAGTTATTAACATATCATATTACAGACTCCCAGATCACCTGTCTGTACCTCAGCAACCTTCGTTGAACCACCTGCAGGCCCCTTATTGGATTATGCGTCACAACAACAGATGTAGTCGTGATAAGCACCTGAACCAGCTGCCAATTTTTCACAGACTTGTGTGACAGGAGGAACCAAGAAGCAGTCGGTCGGAGCGTGGCCGCAGTCTTCAGGATAAACCTGTTCAACGATCAGTGAAGAATTTGAAATATTCAGGCTTGCCGGGAATACAGAATACATAACCTTACATACGGCTTCAATGTCACAGGGATAAGTGAAAATATTTCTTTTATTTAACGTTGCGGACTTAGAAATTCATGTATTTTAATAAAAAATAGGTTTTATGTATTATATGTTTTATACATAATATACAATATTTGCCACTCATTATTATTATCTGAGGCTTTATTTGGGAGAAAGATGATACATACCTTGTCTCTTCAGTAAAAATTGCTGAGTTGTCCTCATCAAACTGGTGCAAAATACTTTGAACGCGCAAAATTTCTTGGGAAGAAAATATCATGAAAAACAGCAAGAGAACAACAATTTTATATATATAGCATCACATGTACATACATGTATGTTTGTACCAGGTTATTAAAAGGATGCTTTTGCCATAAATCCTACAAAACTCAGACAACCCTTAAATACTAATGCTAGTCAAACACTTAAGACTTACAAAATTCTGACTCTTATGATGCTTAATAGAAATCTACAGGTACATTTTGTACATGATATACACTTTTGTACATTATTGCTGAAGCAGTGAAAAGGTATGCAAATGAACATTTACTGGTCAGGACTTCATATTAGCTGAACGTGTAGACAACCTGTTGTTTTAACCTTATAACTTTCCTGCAAAAAAGTACAGTGTGCAGATTCATAGTCATCAGAATGTACTGTGCCTGTGCAAAACCAAGATTTTGTCAGATATTTGGTTATATATAATTTCATCATCAATTTTTTCTGTTTTCCTTACATGCACAAATATGAGACATTCTGTTGAAGTACATGTATGCATATATACTTTGTGCAGGTGCAGTATGTTCTGCCTACATGCTTATTAATGCACAGTCACAACTGTGAGGTGACCTATTATATGATGAAGAAGTAAAAGATGGCAACTTACAGTCACATTTCATTCCCTGGTGGATGAGTCCATACAGGAGAGACCCACAGTGGTCACAGAAGGTGGGACTACCGTAGGTGTGAACTTTGAACTTGTGCTTGCTGCGAGGGTCCTGTCATTGGAGATTTCAAGGAAAAATAGTCAACAGTGAGCATGACACAAACTACAACTGAGAATGCAAAAAAAGGAGTCTTCCCTCTTAATGATGCAAAGCAAAATTAATGTAGAAAGAAGTGTAAATTCTTAGCCTTGAACTTCATTGTGTGCTTATGCAAAAATCAATCAAAACAGACTTGCAATGGCTGGGGGGGGGGGGGTTCTACATATGAAAGGATGAAAAATGATGAATTGGTAGCTCTATAACTTGATATTGGTTGGAAATTGGCTATGTGCCCTATTGGAATTTCTAGCTACTACTGCATTGAGCCATCACACTTGGATTTGTGACCACCGATATGCTATTAATTGAGGACCATTATGATAAATACTATGTGGTCTGAAAAAGAATACTAGTAGTCCCCCTGTGGGTACAATTAAGAATGCCTATGTACTTGTCACTTAACATTTTCAAAAGCTCTACCCCAACTGATCATGTCCGTTGCCATTAAGCTACAAGTAAAATCTAGAAAACATGCAGACTGACTGTTTTGTACCATGAACTAGCTGTCATCTCTGAGAAAAAAGAAGCTAGTGAGGATCTCAAGACAGGCAACCACCGAGCACTAACCCTCTGTTTAAACCCATTTTTAGATATTAAGCATAGACTGAGTTTTCTAGAATTGTTGACGAATTATTATTCATGATCATGACACAACCATGCATCTCAGAGTCTGTTGTCTGGGAAGAGAGAATAATTTTGATCTCACAAACAAATCAAACTTACCTGAAGTTTTGACTTTGTCGCTCCAGTCTTTGTCATTCATTTAAAGAAATGAATTTTTGGTTTATCTGTTTATTATTTATCATTTTTTAATATATATGTGGTATATTTTTAATTTTATTTTTAAAAAAATGATATGCATATCACAAATTAATCATCTATTACGGTAAATGAACATAAATTAGACTAAATGTAATTATTATCAAAACACCAAGAAATAAACAAAACAACCAAAAGACAAAATAATAAAATCCCACTAAACTGGTATCACATCATTTAATATTTAATAACTAAATGAATATAATAATCATTTAAGCTTTTTGCAAGAAATTCAAAAATATCCAGGAGAAAGGAAAAACATTAAACAAAAAAATAAACTGAAGTAAGACATACTAGATAATGTAGATTGTAATTAGGTAAGATCATTCAATTATGAAATTTTTGAATATCAAAAGAGTTAACGTTGGAAAATTTTCTTAATGTTTGAATCAAGGTTTTCAATTGGACATAGTTTACATAAAGTTTACTTACTGAGGCCTTACCAGGTATCAATGCATAACATCTGTTTCAGATTGTAGCTAGAATTCAAGGACAGCTACACCCTTAAATCACCCAAGGCCACACACACATCTAAATATAGACATTACATTCAGATGATGCCAAGATTTGGACACAGACTCTAGCTACCTGATTTTATCTTGGCTTTCATGTCATTTCTGCCAATGGCACAAACATGTAAAATTGAGGGTATACATTAACTAGTAGCATGGGACCTGGTATAAAGCTAAATAAAGAAAATATCACATAATCTTGGTATAAGAGGTTTTGCTTTGAATTCTGATTTTATGTCTCTGATGAAAAGAAAGAAAAATCCTGTCTGTAATATGACTAGTACCTGTATTCCCAGCAATGGATAGGAATGGACACACGTGTAGAAACACCTGTTACTAGGCTGTTGGACACCTGTTCTTAACCTGATGTCCACTGCATTCCCAGGTATGGTTAGACATGGACACACATGTTATATACAACACCTGTTACTAGTCTGTTCTGCACCTGACTTGACCTATTGTCATCAACTGCATTCTCAACAAGCATATTTGGCACACCTATTACTAGTCTGTTTTACACCTGCTACTGACTTGGTGTCACAACTACATGTACATGTACATTCCTAAATGGACAAGCTTGTAGCATATCTGTTGTTTGTCTGTGGTATACACCTGATCTTGGCATGTTGTAAATTGTATAATTCCCATCAATGGTTAGATATGGACAATCCTGTAGCACATCTCTTACTTAGTTGTACACCTGTTCTTGACCTGTTGTCACCTGTTGTCACCTGTAATTCCAGCTTTAGTAAGGCCCTGTTCATACTAAGCTTTGCAGGGGCAGTTCCAAGCTGAATCCACCTGAGCAGGATTAACGTGGCCCCGTATGACGGCCCAAATGACACTGAAACCAGCTCTATCTTAACCAATGCCTCCGGGAGGTACAATGTAGTTTTTAAGGCGGCTTGAGCGTCCTTGAAGTCTGAAATGCATTGCGACTTTGCATATTGTTTACATGCATGGGGCTATGTGTGATTTGGCAGGTATTTCTGCGCCTGTCCATCTGACATGTCCTTTTCTATTGCTAGAATATTTTGCTGATCCTAGGGCATACTTGCTGCTAGAATTGGTCGGCGAGTTTGGTGTCTGAATGCTTCTGAGACGATTGTGACCAACTTCTGATCATATAAGCACAATGTCACTTTTAATCTTTTGATTAAAGTACAATAATTGTACTAAATTCGATAACAGGCAGTGTTTAGATCAGGTCTGAGGTATACAACTTACATGTACCCGAATCCAATTTCAAGGCTTATTATGAACAGGGCCTAAGACATTGTCAAGCTTTTATAGCACACCTGTTACAGTAACTATGACGTCAACTGCACACCAGGTCCTGTTCTTAATCTGCAGAAAAGGCTACTGTAATATGTAAAGAGCTTTGTCAACAGTCAGTCCTGTTGGATTTATATAGCCTCGTTGACCTATGACAGATGTGACTATGCCTCAGTAATTACATGTACTAGTAATTTACCTGGTCAGTTTTCATTTGTCAAAAATCAATCATGTTGTGTGGCAGTATTGACCAGACAGGTGTCCTATATCATGATACAAACCAGGTGTTTTAACCCAACAGAATTACTGGTAATAAGCTGGTGGAAAAGATTCCCTGTGTTTTTTCACATTTTAAGACAAGAACTTAGGGTACTTAATGATTGAAAAGATTGATTGGTAGTTGTTTCTGTGTAACTGATACATGTACAATCAATCATGTACAACTACATAATGCATAGGTTGTACATACATGTTACTACTTGTATATAATAATAATAACAGCTGTTGCTATTACTGACCACAGATTCATCAAATAAAGAGCATTATCAATCTGCTTTTGTTCAGGAAACACTAAAATATTGATAAGCATACTTGGTCATCTTACACATGCTTTAAGTTAAACTATGATCTCCAGACCTGTTGAGCAATGATTGAGTGACCAAAAGTCTCATTTCTATAAGTTCAGATGAATTTGAAATTGAAAAACTTGTATTTTGAAAGTGTGTTTATTGTCTTTTAAATCAAACTACTGGAATTGCTTCATGGACCATATTCAATGCCATAGCTGTCTTACCAATTCTATTTTCTAGTGGTCACTCAATGGTCTTCTGAATCTGATCAAGTAAAAAAAAAGAGTTTGCTCAATTTTGTTTTAAAAGCAAAAAATGGCCATAATCATCACCATATCTCTACAGCAGTGCCAATTGTATACTAGCATAATATATTAAGTATATTACATGTGTATCACCTGTGTGCTTCATATCTCGTTGTTAATACTTTTAATATTAGTAACCTCAAAAAAAAAGTCATGTGTACTAACTTAAGGCTAATGTTACAAAGAGATGTACTCCACCATAATACTACTAGTAGTACTACTAATAGTCTGCTTTATGACTGAATTGTGTGACTAGCTTTTATAGTGCAGCTACCTATAGCCACCAACAGGTGCTTTCTGGTACCTGGTAGCGACTCACACCTTAGATTCTGGCTGCCATTGAGGTCCGCATGTGACGGGGGCAGACGTTAACCTACCCAGCAGGGCTAGGGAATTTTCCCATGATCCCGTGCCAGGTTGTAGAGTGTTGTATCTCCCACTAAAAAACTTCTTTACCTAATATGGTCAAGAGGGGCATTGATGTTAATAACATGAGTGGATGCTACAGTAACTCAGGGCTCAGTGTGTCAACAGTTATTAATGGCACAGTGCAAGTCGCAGACAGAGGAAAAATGTCCTGACTTCTTATAAGCATGATGCAGTAAATGACAAAAGAAACTGGTGAGCTACTAAATTCAAATTGAGTTAAAATTATCTAATGCCAGCTAAGAAAAGAAGCCGGGATTGAAATTATCATTACAAAAACATAATTTATATGTATGATATCAATAGGATCTAAGGCCCTCTGATGTTGCTAAAAACAATCCCAAAGATTTTAAATCACTGAACAAAAAATCTTGAAATTAAAGCAAAAACAGAATAAAAGTTCATAATGGCTAATACAATTCAGAAAGAAAAGATTTTAACCATCAGAAAAATTTCCTGCCAAATCAGTATTTATATTACACATGCTACAAAATGCAGAAACTTTTGTGGTGGTTATATTTTTTTCCGATTTCCAAAGCGAATTCATGACAATGCGAGTTCCTGTACTATTACAGGATTGTTTCAACAACAAAGTAATCTAAAATACAGCAAAAACTCCATTTTCCCTTCTACTACGAACAAAATTACTGGATGTACAGTAAATAAGACATATGAAAGACCCTGATACCTCTACGAGCAATACCTACATATCAGCCTCACTTACGACCTTTCCTCAATAGACTCACATGTAGATAAACGTTCAAAAGCCTCCGGCCTGTCATCCTCTATTCAGTCCTCAAGCCAATTTGAAAAGACTCTGGGACAATAAAAGCATATTTTGCAGAAAGACCATCCATCTAATCCCTTACACTGAGTGGGGGATAGATTCTATCTCAACACTTAGAGCCATTCGATGCCAGAGGCAGCGACATCTATAAACTGTGGGCTACTGTTAACGTACATTGAGCCTGAATGTATATCATACTTCATCGTTCCAGCACAAAATGCTAGATCCGTCATGTACATGTAACTGTCTGCGTGAATTA